TTAAGTTATTACAAGGATAAATTAGACTGCTTGTCTCAGAGTCAGAAAGTCAGAGATCTGGGGTTCAGACTCCACCGTTAATATGTGGCTACCTGGCCTTCGGCAAGTCACTCCTCTTTCTAGTAAAATGACAGGACCAGTACTCACTCTGAGGGCATCACCAGGCTGCCGTGGGAGCCAGGGTGCCCGGTCGGTGCTGTGAAAAACCTTACCTTTATTCCTTTGTTCCACACCTTCATAAAGGTTATTGTTGTCATAAAAAGAACGAATAACCCACAAGCTGCAGCCTTTTTCTTATCCTATAAACCTGCTGCACAAGTAATGAGAATGCATTTGAGGCTGGGCTGGTAACCCGCCGTGAATGACCCCACCCGTGTTGGTGGAGCCCTTTACTCACAGGGTGTTTGCTTCTTTCTTCCTTTCATTTTTTTCTCCTAACACATGTAAAACTTCAGACCTGAGTGCTCAATGGCAGTCTGTTGGGAGCAGAGGGAAGGAGGCAAAACAGCTAACAGAACCATCAAAAAGAAAGATGGGTCCTTGAAAATGCCAATCCTCATGGTCGGCTCTCAACCAAACATTCCCTAAGGTCAAACTAGCCATCTTTCTTAAAAGGCACCATTGGGGAGAGAGCGTATGAGGGGTGCAGTCCTACACAAACGACACTTAAAAGTTCCAGCCAGGAAGGTGCTGTGTCTCTTAAGCCCCAATTGAAGGGCCAGAGAGAAAGAGGAAGAGAGGGGGTGGGGGGTGGGGAGTGGGGAAAAGACACCAAAAGAATAAACCGACCAATAAGAACCTCTTTTACTCATTTTACAAACTTATATCCAGAACTAGCCTGGGGTGTTAGGTCAATGGAAGAAATGCAGTGTGCAAACTTATTTGCAGAAACTTTGATTTATTCCTACTCTGGGAGGCAGGTTTTTCTTCAGATGTATGATATCCACAGGAGGTCAGCTACCCAACAGTAAGAATTACGATTCCTAACAGTGCAACTTCCTCATCGATAAAATGTGGGCAAGAACTGACTGCATCCTACATTGTGTGAGAATTAAATGAGCTAATACACAAAAGCACCCAGAACAGAGTCTGGCACACAGTGAGCTATCAATAATTATTTGCATGCTGCTTTACAATTTTGCATATGTTATCCCACTTGATCTTAAGAACTGTGTGAGGTTTTGTTATTTTCACAAGACACAGGTTTAAGGAGATAAAAGGACTTGTCAAGAGTCGTGCAGCTACTAAGTGTTAGGTATGAGGTGGCTCTTAGGACCAACACCCCGTACTCCCGGCTGGACCAGGGACGGCTGCTTTAGCAGGAGTCTGAGCATGCTGCATTTCCAATCCAACTGTGCTGGGTGCCTGCGGTTGGGGATGCACGGGTCTCCAGGGCCTCTCGAATACCTGAGGCTGCAAAAGAGGTTTGACGTGAAGGTCGGAAGAAACTCTTCCAGGACAGTTCTCACACCTGACCCTAGGAGCCCGGTATGGCCTCTGAGGTGGGCAAAAATGGCATTTGTGACATTCTTATTTTTTACATAATAAAGCAACTCACAGCTGCTGCTCCAAGGATCTGATAGTTACTGTTAGGTTAGGTGGCTCAGGAGGCGGCGTAGGAAATAAAGAGAGTTGATCAGAAAAGGAAGGAAGGAGAGGTTTTATTCTGCGTCCCCGGGCGACCCACGAACCCCAAAGACAGGGCACGTGGATCCACACCAACAGGGAGGGGGGCACTTTTTTTATACAGCTGTTCAGTGAGGGCGGGGGAGCATGAGCTGTGGGAGTTCCCGCCGCGAGGGTCGTCACAGTTTCCAGGCGTCGTCATCTGTCTGGTAGCTGACCTGTTAGGAATTCAGGGCGGGACGGGTATCTGCGTCACCATTTACCTGGTGCACTGGCCTATTACGGATTCTAGGAAAGGTCCAGTATCTACGTCACCATCTGCCTGGCGGAGGCATGCATCAGCTCCTGGACCCCCTTTCGACCTAACAGTTACCTTTAAGGAATAAAAAATAATAGCTTCCAATTAACAGGCACTGTGTTAAAACCCTTTACAAACACCTCATATAATCCTCAATTAGAGGGGGGAGGGATCCGGTGAAGAAAGGCACCCTTATCCCTATTTAACAGGCAGGGAAACAGACTCGGAAAGGCCCAGGGACACAACGTTAGTAACAGCAGAGACTGAATTTGAACCCAAATCTGCAGAGAAAGTGCCACTCGCCATTGGCCTCAACCTCTCCTTTTCATTCCCCTCACCCACAGGACACAGGCCTGAAATACAGAGACAGGATAAACCTGAGGGAGAAATTTTGTGCTTTTGCAAACCAAGACTGCAAAGGCCACCAGGGTCTTTATTCTGTTTCTCTTGATAGTGATTCAGGGCAAACCTTGAGAGCACCTCTCTTCACCTGGGTCCTTTGTCCTGCTGCCCACAGCTGCTGCTGAGGAGCACAGAAACAGCCACCACACACCCCCCCCCCCCCCGGGCCTCCTTGAAGAGTGGGGAGAAGACAAGCCCCGGAGCTGGTACACAGAAAGAGGGGGCCCCTTTCCCCTGGTGGGAGGGCAGTCAGGCCCCAGCACAGAGGCCTCGGCGGACGCTGGACTCACCACAGCCGACTCTGTCCAGCACAGACGTTAGGAACAGGACACATGGAAAAATCTCTAAACCAGCCCTGCTCAGTTCTCTGACCCTACAACCCATAGTGACCCTGACCCCCTCCTTAGCCCACAACCCCACAGCCTTTCTGATAGCTGTCTAGCTTTCCCCATAACACTTCATGTCCTCCTGCTCACCTCACAGTGCCCGGGCACCCTACTCCCCACCTCCTCTTTACAGAATCACCGTGAGTAGGTTCCCCAGGCAGTGGTCAGGCCATTGTCAAAGAATATTCAGTCATGGCCATCAGGCTGCAAGGTAAGCAGATGTTAAGCAGATTGCAGCCTTGGGCAGATTTCCCATAACAGAAAAAACTTGTTCCTAATCAGGGCCATCTCCAAACCCTCAGCTCAGATCACCAGGGCTGCCAGCAGATCACCCACGGGATGGGGCACTGCTGGAGAAGGGGGCACTGCAAAAGCATGTGTGTTAGGGGAGGGTCCCACTAAGTGCACAGACCACAAACCCAGGTGGGAGGACAGGAGGGCACGGATGTCCCACTAATCCAGCTACTGGGATCGGCAGCCTCTCTGAAGTCAAGTTCTCCTTCCCTCATTTCCTCCCTGAAGGCTGGGTGGGGTCAGATGGGAACTATGTGTCCCTAGGAGCCATCAGAACAGCCCAGCCTCCTAGCCAAGGAAGGTGACTCCAGCAAGTCAGGTCACTGAGGAAGGAGACAGACGTGGGGTACGACAGCAGCCTGTCTAGGAGAACCTCTCTGATACAATGCACAGCACACAGAGAGCTTAAATCTCCCTCCGCACTCCTTGGTAACCCATCAGCCCACCCCCCTTTATAGTCCTTCCGCCTCTCCAAACTCCTACCACGAGTGTCAACTTTCAAGCTGTCTGTGTTCATCTTCTCATAACACTCACTATACAGACCCATCAACCCTTTAGTTTAAAGGCTGAGTACTCCATCCTAAGCTGACAAAAACAAACAAACCAAAAACAGTTTCCTCAGCCTCTAAGGCATGACACTGCTGGGGAGACTGAGTTTTACAACTGTCTTCTGGCCCAAGCTGGGGCAAAATCTCAAGCCTACCTCCAACCAGCCTCCATCCAACTC